TTGAGAAAACATGATACTAATTCTGTTATGCTTAACAGAGCAAAAGATAACGTCTCATCGCATTCCTTAAAAGAATAGTCTGACTGAAATATCAAGGTGGAGCAAGCAGCTAGTTAGCTTAGCTTAGCATGAAGACAAGAAATAGGGGGAAACAAGTAGCCTACCCTGGTACATAACCACCTGTAAAATGACAAATTGTTGCTTTAACACTTTACACATTAAACAAACCAGACAAAGCCAGGCTAGCTCCCTCTGTTTCCAGCCTCCATGCTATGCTAAGCTAACCGGCTGCTGGATCCAGCTTCATATTTACCGTACAGATATGAGAGTCGCATCAACTTTCCAACTCAGAAGTACTTAGTCTAACTAAGTATTTTTCAAAATGAACTATTGTTGTAAGATAAAAAATTGTGATTTACTTTATTTTTTCACGATTGTCTGTCATCTATGTGTTGCACAGGAAGACATCCTGACTACTAACAACGGCTTTCAGAGAGAGATGGAGTGATCTTAGGGCCCTACTGCCAACATGCTTCGCAAGTAACACACAGCCTTGAAATTCTTCCACCACTGAAGGCTTGAGTGTGGCTCAGTGCAACAATGTTAGGATACCTCTCAGGCTGTACTCCTACACACAAGTAGGCCCACTACAAATTTGTATCCAGCACGGTCATCACACAAGTTTTGTTTTTTTACCTGTTCAGTGAAATTTCAAAAAGAAACATTGATTCATAGTATTTTAAGATTTCTTTACATAGTATCTTAAACCAACATTTTACTTTTGAGTTTTACTTTCCTATGCAAGGGTCAGGGTGTTAACTGCTCTCATGACTCATAGCTACGGACCAATTCATGAAAACTACTACAAAATTACTTTAGGTTATTCTTCACATGGGATTGGAAACAAACAAATAATGTTTTCCTTTTATTATATTGAAATGGTGAATATTTAACTGTGAAGAATAAATTCTATGAATTTATAAGACACATTTTGTTTAATATAAAGTTTACTGCACATACATTACAGAAAAAAATACATTTCAATGAGGGTAGCAAACTTAAATTATATAACTGGTTTTAAATACAGTAAAGACATTGGCTTAATATTTTATCTTGCCTACAGAGCACAGTGGTATTAACTGTAATTTAGAGATCATGCTCATTTGCAAACTTCTCATGTGCTACTGGGAAACATCAATTATCTGATCTCTATTACAGCACAGGCAGCTAGATGCTGTCTTTCTTCAACCAGGTAGAACAAGCAAAACTACGTCATCATTTGACAAAGTGCACTGCAGTCTGACTTAATGAAACAACATGCTAACTTTTGCTGCCTCATTATTATAATGTTTAGGAGGTCATTAAAATAAATGAATTACTTAATAGGATTTTATTATTTGTTAATGCAAAAGTTCAGAACAATACAAATCAATTGTTAAATATTCTAATGAAGCAGACACAGTCCTTTCATTCTTCTTCTCAATTCAGCTTTTCTGAAGAATGGCTAAACAAGGATTTACATGACTTCCATGACTGTACTGTTTTTAACTCCTAAATGTTATATTTCCTGGAATATATTGAGATGCTACTCCTTACTGCAATCAACGATGGTGTAATAAAATATTTACTTTATGTATGTTTTCTGGACTTTGTAATGTTGGCCTTCATGTTGCACAACTAAAAACAGTTATTTGTACTTGTCCAAATTCTTATCCAGAAAAAGAAAATCAAAATTTTCAGCCTGTGAAAGAACACCATAAACGTGCTGTTGTGTTTGACACCAGGGAAAGCGTTAGTCTCACAGAAAAGGCGTTAGTGTGTCTAAGCCGATACCTTTCCCAAAAAAGTGTTTTCTCACTCTGCCAGATACGCCATCCTTGCCAGCTGAAATAACTGTGTGTGTGTGTGTGTATGTGTGTGTACAAGCACACTCAAATACAAACGTGCACATTACACACCCTTTCTAAGCCTCAGCCTTTGAGTTATTAGCACTGTCTTTGTGAAAACGTCACCATGTTTTTGCAGTGAAATGTGCAGTGATGTGTACTGCATTTATTGAATGCAGAAAAATACATTCATATGTGTTAACATATATGTGTAAAGATAGTAGCCTATATTGAATTAAAATATAAATTTAAACTTCAAGTAGAAAAAGGTTAACTCTTAATCACACATAAGGGTCAATGACAGGTATTTTTTTTCCTTTTCTTTTAGCAAGATGCTTCTCTTGTATCTGGATCATATTCAATTTGCTTCCTGTGTCGAACTGATTTTTCTTTACTTGATAGTGGCATCTAAAATGATTAAAATATATAAAGAAAGAGGTTTAACATGGGAATAACATCTTTAACTTAAATTAATAAACATTTGAGAAATGTATTAGATAATCTTAGAGTTTTAAATAACATTATTTATTTCATATAGTGTCATTTTGCACCTAATTTCAAATTAAACATGCTTTTATTTGGGCACATGTGTTAGCCACTCTTTACTGCAAAAATAAATAAAGAATTTTACATTTGTAAAGAATTTTACATTTGTTATACCACCTAACATGGAAAGTGTACCGGCCAACCTCTGAGTTGAAAATAGCTCTTTTTTTTTCAAATTTGAAGATCTAGAAACTTTTTTACTCAGCCATAAAGGTCACTTGGGGCCCTCTGGTTGCAATATTCTGTTAACTCTTATAACGTGTTCACTTAAAAATAAAAGCCCTATGGTTGTGCCCACATGACATTTAACATACAAATTGTTGGACAAAAGTTTTTCAGCTTTAAAATTATTGGTATTTGTAAATTGTAAATGTAAATTTGGTTTATTTAAACGGTTTCAAACATAGACTCATGCCATGGTATTTTACTTTGAATTTATCACCATTAAAATATGATTTTTATTTCTTTTTTTAGTGAGTTCACTTGTACAGAGCGCTGCGTTGCCTGAGATTTTGGGGCGTTCGAACTACCAAAACATGAATAATATTTATTATTTTAATGTACTTGTATTCAAACTCAATAGGTTTTATATAATGTGTGTCAAGAATCTGTTAAATTATTTTAAAAGGAAATAATACACACAAAAATATACATGTCATTACAGTTGTATGGTATTGTAGTTCTACTTAGCTTCCTTGGCTACAGTAAGCTAACATTAGCACTCACCTGCCAGGAACTTTAGTTATCACTATACAGAAAAAAATGTCACAAACACTGAGTGAAGACCCAGAAAACGTCCTGCTTCTTCTTAAGTTTCCAGTTGACTCAGTTTCTTGAAACTTCTCCTGTACTGCCCTACTGCACGTGTGCAACGCTGAGCTCAGCTTTCTTTCCAGGAACACAAAGTTACAAGTCCAGTTTAAGTGAACTTTTATACCTCGGAAAAAATTACTCACATTTACACGAGTTGAATCAACAGGATAGGGAGAAATAAGTTCACACACACAGTTCACAGTACACTTATATCATTTTAGTTAAGAATAAGTAAGTATAAGATGGCACTGAATGTCATAAAACAAATTATAATTTAAAGGTCCAGTGTGTAGAATTTAGTGGCATCTAGTGGTGTAGTTGCAGATCGCAACTCCGTCGCTTCACCCTGCCCTTTTCAAGCACAGTGGGTCTGCGCAAAAAATGTGTACGCCTCTACCTATAACCAGTGTTACTGGATACCATAAACATGGTTTATCAACAAGGTAGACTCCATGGAAGACGACCTTTAATACATGTTTTCTGCTTAAGGGTATTTTTTATTATTCACATGCAGAGCCTAATGCAGACAAAATGTCTTGTTAGCTCTCCACATTTAAACTTACATCCGTTCGAGCCATATGTACCCATGTAAGGACATATTGTTTTTCATTGACCATTATCTTTTTCTCCACAAAACTGTGATTTAATTTGTATTATTCAACTTGACATTGTGCACCGATTACAACACACTCCGCTCTGCATTAAATGAAGGGAAACATTAGGGACAATAGCACAGTGTGAACAAACTGCTTGTTACCAGTTGCAGGTGCTCTGGGAATCACTGACCTCAGGTGTGAAACGTCACTCCCAGGGGGTCGGTGTGCATTAGCGGTTTCCCATGCAGCAGATGGCAAACCACAGACAATGAGTGGATGAGACAGACGAGCCAGGTAAAGAAAAGGGATGGGCTGAAGTGAGTTAATCTCCCACTGCTTGGCTGTTGGGGGGGCGACTTCAAACCTACATGCATCTGTGGGTGCAGGGAAGGACAGCTGTTTTAAGTACTATTACACATCATGTTGTCATCTCTGGAGCTGAATTTCAGATATACTTTGGTGGAATATGAGGTTTATTTGACTGTAGATTTACATGGTTATCAGAAGGATACAGGATTTTTCCAAATCTCAGATTCATGGAAGTGCACGGCGTGAAGATTCAGCACCACCTGTTCTCTGCTGACCTCCAGTTACCCCTCCCCCACCTGTTATGTACTTTCATTCAGGGAGTAGCTTAGTAATTTAACTAAATAGGCTTACTTGTCAGACTCAACTGCTTTGCCAACCTCCACCATCTCTTGTGCGCTTTCTCACAGTTATGCAAACACTTAAGTTGCTTGGATTTGCCATCATTCAGCTTAGTCATGTTTGCCGCTGTGTGAGACGCATACATTCAACATGTTTCTTAACAGGTAACAGCTCTACCCACCAGTGGATTCAGTGTCCGTTTTATCTGTTTCTGTTGTTTAAATGTTGGACCTTGACGAACAAGAAAAAGGAAAGTTGGACAGACTGTCAAAAACGCATTGAATAAGCCCTTTAACTCCTCGGGATAAGCATCTTTCCTGTCAAGGATTATTTGCAAACTGACCCACATTGTGACTGTTGCTTGTTTTTACTTTCTTATGTTTTTCTTTATCTCTTTATGACGTTCACCAAACAATTTAGTATTTGACAAAAAAACAAAAAAAAACTAGATATCTATTGTTTGTTCAAATATTTACATTTACACATTATTTAGCTAACTATTGAATATGGCTGCTCCCATAAGCCTACACTAAAATCATTTGCCATTAAATAGATAATTAATTCATTCATTGAATTCATTGCTTGCTTGTGATACAAGGATACTAGGACATTTATCATCAAGAGTTTGTACAACAATCTACATTGTAGTAATGCATCTAAATTTTGACCTTGTGATTTGGTGATAATTACAGGGCCATTATAAATCATTGAAACTATATTAACATTGTTATTACTGGGTTTTAACAGTGACTGTCTTTTCCCTGAACAATAGCATTTAATGAAGCTTACATGCAGTGTGGCCTATCAGAGTGAATGTAAAGCACATGCATAAGATGAACTGGACACCCTTACTAAGTACATACATACAGACAACATACACTAAAATTATGACTGACAGACGTCCCTGCTTACTAAGATGTTAACACTGTCTTTTTTGTTCATTATATATAAAATTGTTTAATACTTAATATTAGTACACTCTGTTGTATCTGGAAAAAAGCTACGTTTTATTTTTATGAATTGGATGGATGTCTTGGCAGAGCCTACTGTCTGTAGCAAAAGTGCAGAATATCTTTTTACTACTTCATCGTAAATAAATTAACTCATTGTGGACTGTCCACAGTGTATTAAAACTTGCTTTGTAATTAATAATCCACAGGTACCAGTCCAACCTACATTTTTTTAAATCAATTTTATCATTTAATTGGTAGACATTGCCACTTGTTACTCTTGTGCTATGGGTTTGAGATATAAACAATATATCTAACAGGCCACATTTGCACCTTGCCATGTCTTGTTAATTAATAGAACATTGTCCAATTATGTGTTGGTTTATTAAACACACAAGCTGTCACATTTTATTAAAACATGCTTTGCTGGACTTTTGCACTGGAGGAAAGAAGGAGAACGTGTGTTTTTTTTTTATTTTTTCAGTAACTGTTCATTGTTTGAGTTTAAAGTAGTATATATATTAGGCTATATTAAAAGATTCATAGTTATGTTATTGTTTTTATTATAACATACATATTATTATATTAGTTGCCTATTTACACCGATCGAGCAAAACTTAGGACCTGATATAGTCAAACATTCTCTCTCCTTTTAGCTTTGTTTGGCTCTCCTCTAAGAAAAATACCTGCCTTTTTTGTAGCTAAATGCTTCACTATGTTCACCAACTAGTCACTAACATTGTCAGCTGGTGGATGTTGGGGTAGCATCTCGCTGCTGCTGGAAATGAGGTTGGTGAGATTGGTGAGACAAACCAAAACAGTTGTGGGCCATAAAAACCAAAACAATGAGCTGAATGATGCTAAAACTCTGCAGAGCTGAGCAGAACTGCAGAGTCGGGTGATAATCATTTGTTAGTTTGTGCTTATGAGTGCCCCCTTTCACATTACACATAGTCATTTGACCCTTTGTATATATATACAAACAAATATTGGTGCAGCTTTAATGTGAAAGAATGCAGATATAAAATACAGTAATCCTACAGGTTATTTGTCTTTTGACAAACAAAAAAAAATCTTAAAACACTAGAAAAGAAAAACGTATGACAGACTGCTCTAGATATTATACATGCTCTTTTACTGACAAGAGTACAAATACACTGAACTACAGTCCTTGCTGTGCTCACACAGCCTTCACTTCACGGTGCTGTTGTCGCCGTGGCCCCTCCCACGCCGTGACGTTTCAGGGAGAGTGTTGAGCTGAGAGAGGAAAGCAGCTTTAATTGCTGGGCAGAGAGAAAAGCCAGCGATGGCTTCGCTCAGGCAGGAGCACCAGTATGGGCTCTCCTGTGGAAAAAATAACAAAAACAGCTCCAACGGGACGCTGTTCCATGTCAAGCTCACGGACACAGCTATCAGGGCGCTGGAGGCTTACCAAAACCTCAAGGTAACTTTTCCTTATGTGTGTGTGTGTGTGCGCGCGCGTGTTTGGAGATAAATTCACTGTCAAAGTGTCGCTGAAGCCTTTTCTTTTTTTTCCTTTTTAAATTGTTTCACAGTTGTGTTTGGTTAAATTCTACTATTCTGCTGCTTTTATTTATTTAGCTTATTCTGTTTTTTAGGTAACGTCGGTGGTTGTTTAGTAGCTATAGATAAATAAATGGGAGTCGTTCAAAGTAGTTTACAATTACTTCTGACTGCGTTACGCCTGAATCAGTTGGCTACATGGCGGCATAGCATACCAGGGCTGAACCCAGTGATTGTCGGGAAAGACGAGCCCGTCAGCTGTCTGCTGGGAAACCTTCTTTGAGCTTCAAAGTGAACCACAGTGGCAGTCTGCCTAGTTATCTAATTGACAAGTAGTTTGTCTCATAATTAGCTCCAGTGGAGACCATTAACAGCACACAGGCGTTACAGAGTGTGTAACTTTAACTAACATTTAAACACAGCATCAGTAGATTGCAGGTCTCTCTAAATATGTGCAACTATGACACAATAAATGTCTGTTTTTCTTTCCTTCTTTCTTTCTCTCACCTCAGGGATCTTTACCAAGTGAACCATCGATTTGTTTCAAAGGAAACCAAGGGGTAAGTTACATTAGGCGTAATCTTGTTATAAATCCAATCTATCAATAAAGAACAAGCAGATAAAGTGGCAGATGCCTATCACCTTTCAAACCTTTTATCTGTAAGCGAACCACAACGCTCTAGCTAAGTTGTTTAAATGAACTGAACTGCATTGTGGGGTGGCAAAATAAAGAGGGCAACATAAAACATTTAAAAAACGTTTTTTTTTTTTAAAACAAGAACGTTTGCCGAGTTACTTTCTCTACAACTACAGAGAAGCTTTTGTTCATTACACGTTGCCGTTGACTCACACGTCCCACCGTACTGCAGCTCAGATGGAAGCTTATAGCCGGCCGTCTCCAGCAGATAGGAGGCATGCAGGTTACTGGGTCAGGCTGGTGACTGTGGAGAGGCTTTGTTAGGTCAGCGAGCAGCGCTGAGAGAAGGACAGGAGGGAGGGAGGCAGGGAGAAGAGCGCACACACACTGACAGAGCAGGGGAGAGGAGTTATCATAAGTCAAATGAGGAGCCTTCAGTGACACGAGATTAGCTTTGTGCGCCGTGTGGGTGTGTATTCACTGTAGGTAATACACTTAGACACTAATACATACAGTAATACTCTTGTGCTCTTGTAACTGAATCATAATCTGCAGTGTGCAGCCTGAACTATGTGTGTTTTGACTTGAAGTCGGGAGCAGCTGTGTCCTTGGGGAATTCTTTACTTTTCAGCCTAATTGCATGGGCTGGTTGGAAAGAGTTGCAACCCCCTTCCTGCCATGATAAGATGAGCTGAGTGGTGGTGAGTTTTGTAAGGAGGCTTGTGTGGTTAACAGACCTGTAAGTGTGTGTGGTGTTGGAGTGTGTGTTGCTCCTGCTTAGTCTGAATTTGAGGTACATTTTAAAAATGAGTAACTAAAAGGGTGTTGAAAACTGCCTTTTCCATTTTTCATAAATCTTCATTTTTGTCAATTTATTTGAGGGAAGTCAAATTTATTTTTACTTCCCGTCCATTTCTGTAAAGTTACACATTCATCTCCTGCACACGCTGTTGCGATACCACAGGGCGGTTCTGCCTGAGAAGCAGTTCTCTGCTCTGGGTCAAGTGTTGGAGGTGAGGGAATAGTCGGTCAGCTGCTGATTCTTTTTGGACTGTTTTGATCTCACGACTGCAACTCCAACAAGGCAGGAACATGTGTGCCATTAAATTCGAAGAAAAAAGCTTCACAGCTCACACGTTAAGCTGTGGGACTGAGTTTGTGCTGAGAAGTAGTTCGTCCCGTTTTATCTGAGAAACTATTGTACCTGTAACATGTAAGTGTTTTTACCCCACCAAAGAGGGATACGCCCAAAAGAATGAAACTGATTAAACAGCCTGGGCCTGTATCGGAGTTTTTACATCTCAGCCCATCCTTGGACCACTGCTGTTATTGTGATGACTGAAGGATTGCAGGGAATTTAACACCCCTCCCTGTATGTGGCACAGACAGCTAAAGTTATTAGCCAAATGAATGTTTAGAGGTAATTACAGGAGCCGTAATGCTCCTGATTACAGCATGAGGCATCATGACTTCAGTTTGCATTAGCTTTCTCTGTCTGCCTGACTCAGACATTCATGAACGTGTGTGCGTGTGTGTGCGTGTGTGTGTGTGCGCGTGTGTAGCGCTGGCACACTTTTGCTGCAGTAATAGCTAGGCAGATGACATGAACTCTGGCCTGCTAATTTTCCTGTTCCCATTCCCAGGTTGGAGTCCCACTTTTCCTCTGTGTGTGATGAAAGAGAAAACACACTCATGCTGAAGTGGTGTGTATGAGTGGTAGGCTGCATACTGTGCATGTATGCATGTGGTTAAATATGTTAAATTTGTTTGCTGTTTTTTTAATGTGTGTGTGTTAAGGCTGTGTCCGGCGTGGCCTGAAGACATGATTTATTCATGTCCCACCCCCCTTTTTTTCCTGTCCTGCCCCCTCTGCCCATTGTGCAGCAGTCTTTAGTCTGGCAGAACCAGAGTGGATCCCCTAAGGACCCTCCGTGTGTGGTGTGTGCTTGTTTGTTTGGTTTGCCTTTGCTATTGGTTGCAGTTTTTTTTTGTGTGTGTGTGTGTGTTTAGGCTGCCTATGCTAAGATCCCCAGAGCCCCCCTCTGATTGTGTGTTGTCTCCACTAATTTGAATAACAATGAGTGGGGGAATGCAGGCTGCGTGTTGTCACCCTCTTTGGATCACCCAAAATGAATCGAGTACAGTCGGTCCAGATGTGTCGCGGCCTGCCCCGAGGGTTTGTTTGTACCCGACATGATAGAGACCTCCCTGCTGTGGATCTAATGGAGTGGAGCAAAACAACATCTTCCATCATGAACATTTAGCTATTTAACCATTCGAAAAGTCTAGACCTTTTACCGCTGACTTCCATCGCATTCTAAACTGAGTGATCAAATATGCAGGTATAAAAAGTGGCTGGTTATCTGAATGATTGCACTATGAAGCACTTTAAAATTGCACTCTTAATTTGTGCATGAATCATCTTGAAACATCAAATTAAAAACACATGGAGAAAAGCTGTAGGGCAGTTAAGAATGTGAGCATACTTTCATTTTGCAAAAGAGCTTTCACTGCAGTAATCTCTTCAGTATACTATATATGGATGTTGTTACTTGTTATAAATATGGTGTTTTGTCTTTTCCCTCAGATCACGTTAATCAGCGTGCGCCCACAAAGGGGAGATTGTTGAGGGATTATGATGTTTTAAACACTGGTGGTTATAACTTGCTACTTTTTCTGAAAAGCCAGGAATGAAAATCCTGCGCACCGACCGGATTACATATTTATTTAGCCAGCGTGTGTGTGTGCGAGAGGAAGACAAGCGGCCCTCTGAGATCCAGTAGCAGCAGCTCTGGAAAAATGTGTTCTCTGTCTACGATTAAGCAGCTCGGAGATATGGAGCACATCTTGGCTCACTGAGGAACGTGCCCCGTCTAATTCCCTCATGAGAAAATCCACACCATAAGCTAATGAGGCATAAAAGGGCACTTGTTTCACCCCCCCCCTGCACTTGTGTCATGGTATGGCCCTGCGTGTCTAGAAAGATAGCATTCTGTGGAAGATCCAACCTAGCTTGGGGGTCGGGGGAGACTGAAGGAGGGGCTTTTGTCAGGCACAGTGACCCACAATTTGTTGAAGTTGACAGTCCGGCCCTCAGGCACCTGCCAGAGACGTATCGTTCTTGGCATTGGAAGGGGGAAACCTCGGGGGATGCTTGTGGCACAGCACCCTTCCTATCCTCCCTCCTCCTCCTCTTCCTCCTTCATACCCAGCCTCCGCGCCCCATGTACTACACTCGCAGCTCTGGCAGCAGCTCTGTCCCTCTGTGAAATTGCAAATGAAAAGGAGTGGAAGGTGATTACAGGCTGGTGCTTGATTACATGCACTGTCTCCCACTCAAGGCAGCCACATTAATCACCCAGTGCCAGCATGTGGAGCTCAGCTAGAGAGAAGACACCACGTCGCTCGGAGCGCTGACTGATCGACTGTGGGATCGTAAACATGCGCAGAAACACACAAGAAAATCTCTAGTTTCTCTCTTTGTACGTCCCTCTGCGCCCGGGTCCCTTGTTCCTCCACTCAGCCAGAGACACAGACGCACATTGTGTTTTGTATCGCTGTCCTCCATTGTGGAGGGGACTCGTCTTAAATGGCATGTGTCAACTTGTGGCCCTGGGAACGATTTGGCTCTTTTGTTTGCGATGAGATGATGAGAGAAGTAGTGTTTACTGAAGTGTGGTGAGGATGAGGGTGGTAGCTGGCTGGCCGTCTGAGTGAGTGAGTGTGTGTGTGTGTGTGTGTCTCACTCGGATTAGCCGATCAATCGATCAATAGATGGATGCTTCCTGTCTGACCATGTGACCTGTGTGTAGGACACGTACCGGCGCCGGCAGGTGCAGCGCTCGGTGACTCGGCAGATGTCGTTCGACCTGACGAAGCTGATGGTGACGGAGGATTGGTTCAGCGACATCAGCCCACAGACGGAGAGGAGCTGGCTCAACATCGTCTGCCGTCACAGTCCAATCAATCAATCAGCTGATCACAGGGATCAATATCAGCACTGACATTTCAATTTCAATTTTTCTATTTCAGTTTTATTTGTATAGCGCCAATTCATAACAGAAGTTATCTCAGGACACTTTTCAAATTAGAGCAGGTCTAGACCGAACTCCTTATAACATTTACAGAGACCCAACAGTACCACCTGATATTGATCAGCTGTCACTCACACCGGACTGATCCACATCGAGGTCTTCATCAGTGTCGTTAAAAACTCCTTCATCAGTTCCAAAGTCATTATTTATAACCAGATATCTACAGACAGATACAGCACAGGAACAAACAAACAAACAAACAAACAAACAAACACTTTGTTCAGTTCCTGTCAGGATGAATTAGACTTAATTACAGTTTAATATTAGAGTCTGATATCAGATCCACATTAACGGTTCACGATTATTTCAGACAAATTATCTTTAATAATCTTTAATTTCTCAAAATACATTTTATTGTTTAAATAAAATAATTAATTATTTTATAACCTTCGTATCTGCGTCCATCTTCTCTCACTCTCCGGTTTCAGTTTCCTGATTTTATTTTAAGTTTACGTCAATAAGTTGCCTCATTTTAACAACGCCGCCACGTTCCCCGATACAGCTACTGACACCTGTGGCGTGTAGCCGGCGCCCTCTGCAGTTTAAGAAGAGAAACACGACTCCGAGCTCTGAACATCTGATCCAAACATCCACAGATTGATTTTATTATTACTGTCAGTCTGTGATGTAACTTCCTCTTCCTGCAGGCCGTCTGCTGCGAGCCAATCAGATCAGCTTTAACTGGGACCGCCTGGCGTCCTGGATCAATCTGACGGAGCAGTGGCCCTACAGGACGTCCTGGCTCATCCTGTACCTGGAGGAGACCGACGGGGTCCCGGACCAGGCCACGCTCAAGACCATCTACGAGAGGTCAGAGGTTGTCTGCGAT